ACAAACGGCGGCACCTGGACCGCAAGCTGCTCCTCGGCTACCACCGGCACTCTCCACACCAGCACCCCCAGAGGGACCACCCCCAGGGCTACCGGGACGAGCACCCCCAGAGTCAGCGAACGGGTGCTGCGACGGCGGCGGCGGCGGCGGCGGTGGAGGGGGGACTGGGGAGAGGACGCCAGGGGAGGGGCGGCCGGCGAGGACTGAACAGGAGGGCCACCAGAGTCAGAAGACTCCTCAACCGGGTCCACCGACGGAAGCGGGTTGACGTGGGACACACCAGAGGGGGCGGGACGGGGAGGAGGAGGAGGAGGGGCAGGGACGACCGGGGAAGGAGTGACCAGGAACAGGGGGGGGTAACCGGGGGACCACGGTGGGGGAAGCGACGGTAGTAAGGAGACAGACTCGTCAAAGGTGACGTCACGAGAGTGAAAGAAGCCGGTGAGACGGCGGGTGGTAAAAGTGCCAGTCGGACGCGTCAAGGGGAAAACCGAGGAAGACGTAGGGAAGGGTGCGGGCAGTGAGCTTGTCCGTGCCGGAGGCACGGACATGAGCAAGGCAGCCCCAGACGTGGAACGCAGACGCGTCACCAGGAGACCCAGGCCAAAGACGGGTCGGCGAAACCTGCGGCTGCTGAGGGTGCGGCCACAAGTTAAGCTGGTGAGAAGCGTAGCGCACAGCGAACGGCCACAAAAATGGGGTGCACCGGCATGGATCATGGAGGTGCGAGCCACCTTCATGACCAAACCGATGCGTCGCTCAGCGACCCCATTCTGCTGTGGGGAGTCCGGTAGGGTGAACGTCTGGGTGATGCCCTCCGCACGACAAAAGCGACCAAGGACACCTGAGGCAAACTCGCCACCACGGTCGGAGTGAAGACGCAAGACAGGGAGACCGCGGTGGACACGCGCAGAGACAAGCCAGGGGATGAGAGCTCCAGGCACGTCGGCCTTGCGCTCCAGGGGAAAGACTGTGGTGTAACGAGTGAAGTCGTCGACAAGCACAAGGAAGTAGCGCTCTCGACGCGGCCCAGGGACGGGGGCGGGGCCCCAGACGTCCAGGTGCAGGGTCTGCAGCGGCGCGGCGGTAGGGGGAAACGAGGAGGTGTGAGGGGCACGGCGAAGCCGACCCTCGACACAAGGCGTGCAAGGTGGGGCTGGGGAGGAGGGAAACGCGGGGAGGGAACCTGGGAGACCAAGGACAAGACCGTGCTAGGACATGTGACGCAGACGCGGGAGTGCAGGGTGACCTAGGCGGTGGTGCCAAAGGAGGGTCGGGTGAGTGAGGGACCGACAGGAGCAGGCAGCAGCAACCTGGGTGAGCGCTCCAGCCGGGGGGGTCACGGTGTCCAGAGTGAACAGGCCGGACACCGGGTCCCGGGGGAACGTGGACAGGGGGGCACCAGTGGCGGCCTCGGTATAGACAGCATACCGCTCGTGACCAGGGAACGTAGTGGTGACGCCAAGGTCCTGGAGGCAGCCGACACCAACTAGGTTCCTGGAGAACGAGGGGATATGCAGACTTGTGAGAGTGCCCGAAGGAACCGCCGGACAGGGAAGGGTGGTGGAGCTGCGGGCGACTACCGGACCGCCGGAGGGGTCAGCAAGAGAAACGGCAGCTGGAACAGGAAGCGGCGTCAGGGTGGTGGAGTCGCGGAAGAAACACCGAAAAGCGCCAGAGTCCAAGGTGAAGGAAAGCGAAGCAGAGGCGTCTGGCGACGGAACGACGGCGGAAGCACCAAGACTACACAAAGCAGGAGATCCTACGCCTGACGCAGCAGGGGAGGCTAAGCTAGGCACACCTACTCTAGGCAACAGTGAGTAATAGGCAGGAAGCACACTAGAGTCATCAGCATACAGCACATGTAGAGCAGAAACAATGGCATCCATGTCCATATCAAAAATCTGAATCTTACGACTAAGCAAACTATGCCAGTCCGAGAGGTCTGGCGACGGGCCGAAGCGCTGACGAAAGAGGTCGTCCAGGCGACGAAAACAGCGGGGAGTGGAGTGACCGATCTTACCGCAAACGAAGCTGCGGCGAGGACCGGTCTGGATCTGATACTGACAACGCCCGCCACCAGAGCCACCACTCGGCACACCACCACGCGCCCGGCCACCGCCAGCGCCGGGCCACCCGGGCGGGAGGACACTCGTCTGCCGCGTCTGCGACGGCTGCTGCGGCTGCTGCGAAGGCTGCGACTGCGGCGGCTGCTGCGGCTGCTGCCACTGCAGGGGCGGCGGCTCAGCTGGACTGGGCAGGGTCCCCTCGTCCGCTCCAGCACCAGACGACCCGACACCACCACTACCCCCTCCCGCACCCCCGCCGCCGCCGCCGCCGCGCCCAGCCTTGGGGCGGCGGCCCTTCCCCGAACGAAACTGCGCTGCAGCAGCAGTCTCAGCCACTGCGGCAGAGCCGTCGGAGAAGGTACACTGGGCAGGGGCACAACCCTGAAAGATAGGGACCGGCACAACACCGCTCGCCTGGGCGATGGAGCGGTGACGGGTCTCTATCACAGTCAGGGTGTCTACAAAGTCAGTGAGGGTGAGGTCTGCGGGGTGAATGCTAAGGAAGCGGTCGCGGGCGACAGCAAGGCGGTCAGGGAGGCGGGTGGCAAGCAGGTAGAGGGTAGAGGTAATGGGCGATTGGTGGGCTCTAAGCTGTGCATCAGTGCAGGCTGCGCGCCAGGTCTCATCTATCGAGCGCAGGTGGGCAGCGAGGTCAGAGACAGTGGGGAAAGATGCAAGGTCAGGAAAGAGCATCGGGAGGATCAGACGACCCACCGAGGCAGCCGGAGGGGTGGAATAGCGCTGGATGACAGCATCTAAGTATGCCTGAGCAGTAGTGATAGACCTAAAGTGAGGGCGCTCGGACGGGGGAAGGGCGTTGCTAATGGCAAGCTGGGCGACAGCATCGCGAGAAAGCCAGACAGAGCGCGCACGGGCAGTGGCCGCAGTGGACTCGCGCTCAGTGGGTGTGGAGTCAGCGGGCAGAATAGCAGGGGGGTCTGGGCAGGGGAGCATACCGTCAAGGTGTGCGGAAAGCGGTTCACCATCCTGCCGCTGGCCAGTGAGTTAGCGACGGAGGTCTGCAAGCCACGCCTCGAACTCCAGAGGCTGGCCTTCAGCGTCGAAGCGAAGCTCCGCTGCCATCAAGAACAGTGCAGTGCGGTGCAGGGCAGTGCAGCAAGGTGGAGTGCGGTGCCGTGCGGTACAGTGCGGCGCAGTGCGGTGCAGTGCGGTGTAGGGCGGTGCAGTGCGGTGCCAGGCAGTACAGGGTGGTGCGGGGCGGTGCAGTGCGGGGCAGTACGGTGCAGGGCAGTGCAGGGGCGGGGGGGGGGGGGGAGAACCGTACCAGTGAGGAGGACCGGGGCCGGGGCAGGGACGAGCGCAGGGGCCGGGCCGGTGCAACGGGGCCGGGCGGGTGCGACGGGGCCGGGCGGGCGCGACGTGGCCGGGCTGGTGCGACGGGGCCGGGCGGGTGCGACGGGGCCGGGCGGGTGCGACGGGGCCGGGCGGGCGTGACGGGGCCGGGCTGGTGCGACGGGGCCGGGCGGGTGCGACGGGGCCTGAAGGCGTGACGGGGCCCAGGAGGGGGGCTCGACGCGGCCCAGGAGGGGCGCTACGGGGCCCAGGAGGGGCACGACGAGGCCCAGGAGGGGCGCTACGGGGCCTAGGAGGGGCGCGACGGGGCCCAGGAGGGGCGCTACGGAGCCCAGGAGGGGCGCGACGGGGCCCAGGAGGGGCGCTACAGGGCCCAGGAAGGGCGCGACGGGGCCCAGGAGGGGCGCTACGGGGCCCACGAGGGGCGCTACGGAGCCCAGGAGGGGCGCGACGAGGCCCAGGAGGGGCGTTACGGGGCCTAGGAGGGGCGCGACGGGGCCCAGGAGGGGCGCTACGGAGCCCAGGAGGGGCGCGACGGGGCCTGGGAGGGGCGCGACGGGGCCCAGGAGGGGCGCTACGGGGCCGAGGAGGGGCGCGACGGGGCCTGGGAGGGGCGCGACGGGGCCCAGGAAGGGCGCGACGGGGCCCAGGAGGGGCGCTACGGGGCCCAGGAAGGGGCGCGACGGGGCTAGGGGGGTCGCGACGGGGCTAGTGGGGGGGGCGAGCGGAAGCGGTAGGTGGGGGGGGATCCTAACCTACGCGTGATACCATATCAGAATTAGAGAAGTGAATAATGATAGTGAGAGTACACACAGATATACCTAAGTGTTGTACCCTCTAAGACGCGACCCTATACAGTCTATACAAACATGACAAATGCACATGTTCGACATTTGATACTACATCGTTGGACGCCATGGCTGGACCAGTCAAGGACTCATGGCATCAACGTCTTTCTGTGAAAAGATCACAGCACTTGTGGGTGAATGGGAAAATGGGCGAATGGGTGAATGGGTTTGATGCAAGGAGAGTGTAGTTGTGGTTCTGATGTGCGAATTCTTTTCACACAGCACAGTAGGTTGGAGATGAGATGCTTGTCTTGCATGACACCTTTTGTTAGGAATATCACCAGGGTTGCGGTATGAATGTAAAAGAAGCTTGTGTCGTACAGCGAACTACCGCGGTATGAGTTATGGAGACATAAATTACACTTCCTCTGGCCAATAATCACATCACATACGGTTTATTGACATAAATCCCGCATATAAGCGACCATTTGTGGACTTGAGCTCATGAATCAACCGACTCCACCTAGACACCACTGCCCCAACAAAATAGTCACTCTCAGATGCAACCAGAAGGTCAGCCAAGGCCACACCGGTGGCGTCGAATGCTGGCAAGGTGGGGTCAGTGGATGACTTGGGGTGGAAGAACGTCCAGTCTATGAAGCGATACAACTGCTTGATTATCTCCTGTGGGGGTGATGGGTCAAAAACGGAGGGGGAGGGGAGAAGGGGTGGGGAGGGGAAGGGAGAGGAGGAGTGAGGGAGACGGGATAGAGTGGAGAGTGAAATGGGGGGATGTAGGGGAGGGCGGCTGTTGGGGAGCTGGATATGACGTGAGGCAAATGTAGTGACTACGACTAGAGCCAACTAACCAACCAAGCCGTCTCAGATAGAGAGTGTACTATACCCACTTACTCTCCTCTCCATCCTTCACTTCACCCACCCTCTCACGCTCCTACCTTATCCCATCCTCACTCCCCCTCTCCCCCTCTCCCTCGCTCTCCCATCCATCCTCCAGCATCCCCCAGTCAGTGTCACCCCAGTCCTGCAAATCCACACGTATTTAATCCCAGGCTGTCTCTCCCCACTCCTCATCAGCCTCCTATCCCCCCACCCCCGTTTCCTCACACCCTCTCCCCGCCTCTCATCCTCTCAACCCCTCTCTTTCCCACCCCTCCTCCAGGACCCCCCAGTCACCTTCTGGTCGGTGGAGAGCCACACGTATTTGAGCCCGGGCTCTCGCCGCCTCAGCTGGTAAGCCAGCAGCAGAGCCGACACCAACGGCACTGACAATGCTGCCTCCCCACTACTGCCATTGCTGCTGCTACTACCACTAGTACTAGTACTGCTATTGCTACCAGCTCCAGCCTCTCCTGCCTCTAGCCCTCCGTCTGACTCGCCCTGCTGCCCCTCCTCCTGCCCTTCCTGCCCCTCCTCCCCCGCCACGTGTATGCTCACGATTGGCCGCAGCACGTACGCCTCTCTCCCCACCCCCTGGTACACAGCCAGCGGGGACGAGCTCTCAATCGCTTTACCCCTTTTTCTCCGGGGTAAACACCCGGAGAACCCCAGGCTCGGCCACGCGTCCGTCTCCAGATTCCGATGCGCCGAAAGGTTCATTCTTCTCAGCATTCTCGCCTCGCTTATCAGGTTCAATCCCAGCCCCTGATCCGCCTCGGACTTGGGCTTTAAGAGGGAGCCCACGATGGCCCGCTGCTCTGCTAGGAAGGCGGTGGAGCGGGTGGAGATCTGGAGCCCAAGCGCACTGTTGCGCACGTGGTTGAGCATGTGGCAGAGGTAGGGGGACGGCCAGCGGAGGAGGAAGCGCAGACACTGAGCCTGCCACCAGTGGGCCTGGTGGGGAAAGGGGAAATGGGATACGCCGGAGCACATACGCACGAGAAAGGGGCCGAGGGCACTGTTGTGGACGTGGTTGAAAATGTGGCATAGGTCAGGGCCAGTGGAGGAGAAAGTGGAGCGACTGGGCCAGCCACCAGTGGGCTTGTAGGGTGATGGGGTGATGGTAGAAGGGGAAAGAAGAAATGGGATAAGCACGGGAACGCCAACGCATCCGAAATGGCGTGGGCGTAATTGCAGAGATCGAGGGAGGGCCAGAGGGGCAGGAAGCGGAGACACTGGGACTGCCACCATTGGGCCTGTGGGGGTGATGGGGGGGGAAGAGAGGAAGAAATGGGAATATTGCGCCCAGTGGGGAATAATGCATAGAAACAAGCATCAGCATAAAAATAGAGGTAGGAAGACACCGGGATTGCCACCAGTGGGCATGAAGGGTTAATAGGGAGGTGGTGACGGTAGGGGAAGAGAGGAAATGGGAGTAGTCACGGGGACATGCATGGCAAGGGGAGTGGGTATAACAGCAGGGATGGCATGGGGAAGGGGAGGGCCAGCGGAGGAGGAGGCGGGGATACAGGCCTGCCACCAGTGGGCCTGGGGGGTAGTGGGGGGGAGATGTGATGGAATAGAGACGCATGGGAATGGGCATGAGCATTGTAGCAGAGGTAGGGGGTGGGCCAGATAAGAAATAGGCATGGGCGAGGGCAAGGGCATGGGCATGGGCATGGGCACGGGAGTGGCAGCACCTGCAGATGCTGCTGGGAGACATTGAGCAGCGCCCCTTGGTGCTCCACCAGGAATGGCCGCCGCTTGTACGCATCCTCCCACACCCTCGCACTGCACCGTCAAGGGAGGCCGGGGGATGATGGAAAGATGGTTTGCGTGGGGGAAGCAGAGGCCGGGAGAGGTAGCAGGAAATTAGGGAAAGAGGTGCGGAGAGGAGGGTAGTTTTGAGGCGCCTCAAAACTAGACTCCTATCACGGGGGGAAGGCGCTGGAGATTGGAGTGGTTGCAACCGGGGGGTGGTTGTACGAAAGCAGGATTGAGACACATCGCAGTGGGTAGGGGAACCGACACAGAGGATCAAGGGATAGCAAAAAACAAACGAAGATGACGAACGAATCAGCAAGTACAGAAAACATGGTACGTGGTATTGTCAGGAGCAGCGGTAAAGGACGCATTGGTGGTCGCCACAGCAGCAGCACGGAGAAGCAGCGCCTCGTTCAACCCCAGCTGCTGTGCGCTCAGCTGACAGAGGCCCCTACAGGGAGGGGAACCAGCCACCTTGTATTACACTACCGTACCTGGTATTGTCAGGAGGCGCGGTGAAAGTCACATTGTTGCTCGCCACAGCACAGAGCAGCAGCGTCTCATTCGACCCCAGCTCTTGCGTGCTCAGCTGAGAGAGACTCCTGCAGGGAGGGGAACCAGCCGCCTGGTATTGCTGCATAGCTGCTGCCTCGCACGCGTGTGAGACGGAGCGGAAGAAGTAGCAGTGGAGCGAACCGGAGGCATTCAGGGCTGCAAGGGGCGAGTGAGGGCGGATGGCAAGATGGTAGGACGGGGGAGTGAAGATATTAACTGCATGGCTGCTGCCTCGCACGAGTGTGAGACTGAGCGGGAGAAGTAGCAGTGGAGCGAATCGGAGGCATCATTCAGGGCTGCAAGGGGCGAGAGAGGGCAGGAGGGCGGGAGGGCGGCAGGTGACTTTTGAGTCGACTCAAAAGTCACCTCGGGAGGGCGGGAGGGCGGGAGGGCGGGAGGCACGGCGTTGAAAGAGGAGGGGAACGGGAACTGACAGCTTAGTATAGCTGCTGCCTTGCAAGCTGCTTGTATAGACAACTATTCCACCACTGCATGGACACCACGTTGAGGCCTCCTGGGAGGCACAGGGCACTTGTATTGTACAGGGATAGGTCAAATGCACTCAGACCAAACCGACGCTTGGGAAGATGGAAGGGGGGTCTACAAGCGGGAAGATGGTGGTCTAGGGCCGGGAAGATGGAAGGGGAGCCTAGGGCGGGAAGATGGAAGCTCACCTTGGCACTGTGAGTGGTTTGCTGGCTGGAAGGTCCCTGGCATGGGCACGAGCACACGGCCACTCCTCATGGCGGCACTTAAAGCCAGGCTCATGCCATGCAGCTGACCCGCCAACACCTCAAACGACAACCCTCTGCCTGCCCTTCCACTCCCACTCTCACTTCCACTCCCATTCACATTCCCACTGCTGCTGCTGGTCATGGCACCCTCCGGCCATCGGACCAAAAGTAGCCTCTTCCCTTCACAAGCAGCTGCTGCCGAAGCCACATCACCATCACCACCACCACCACCACCACCACCACCACCACCACCACCTCCAGCACCACCATCAGCAGCAGCAGCAGCAGCAGCAGCAGCAGCAGCAGCAGCAGCAGCAGAGGGAGGAGGGAACTGATGCGCCCAGATGTCTCGCTGAGCCACGCGCGTGGACGCCAGGTTCGATGAATCTGACCCTCGCACCTGGAGGGACAGAGGTGGGTAAGGAGTGCTGCTTTTGAGCCGACCCAAAGGGGAAACTGGTGCACCCAGGGGTCCCTTTGAGCCTCGCGCGTGGACGCCAGGTTCGATGAATCTGACCCTCGCACCTGGAGGGAGGGAGATGGAGAAAGTTAGCAGAAGGTGCGACGCGCGTGCGGGCATAGACTGAACGGACAAGGACAGATGGTAGGCATGCCTGGGGCAGAGCGGAGGGACTTGAGAGTAAGGGAGATGCTCTTTAAGGTGATTCTTTAGCCGACCCAGAAATCACATCGGGCAGAGCAGAGCTTAGCAGAGCGGAGGGACTTGAGAGAGACAGAGAGAGATGCTCCTAACAAAGCATTCCTTTAAGGTGAATCATTCATGCCACGGCCCTTATCAGATTCCTCCCTTTTTTAAGCCGAAATTTAAGAACCTGGCTCACATTCGAACCTGCCACTGTGTGGGGGAGTTAAACACGAATTCTCTAGTTGAAATAAGCTTTTTAACACGAAGGTTAATGATAACAGGTTCTCCCCTCCGCCGCTTCCCATCCCGCTTACCCAGGGGGGTTGGGGGACATTCCCGCAAGCAGCATCATCTTGCGCCCATGGGGGGAGCGCCCCGCCCTCCTCCCTGCGCTCTGCAGCCTGGCGGACGGCTGAGCGCGCCGAGCAGTGCTCCAGGTGGGGGGGAGGGGGGATGTTGGGCGGAACGGAGATGGTGGAGGGAGGGAAAGGGGAGTCCGCGGACAGGCCAAAGACGCGCTCCCATGTCTGTGACGCGGAGGCGGGGGCGGGGGGAGGGGGAGGAAGGAGGGAAAGGGGGTAGGGAAGTGGAGAGGGAGGGCGGGGGGGGGGTGGAGGGGGGAGAGAAGCGCACGATTGAATATAGCAGGCGAAAGAAAGGGCGACAGAAGGAGAGACGACGACGTTGCGTATAAGCGGCAGCACAGGCGATGGGATGCCATGGTTTAGGCTGTTCAGCGGCAACGGCGAAGGGGGAGGATCAGCGGCAAAGGGGGAGCATCAGCGGCAAAGGGGGAGGATTAGCGGCAAGGAGAGAGCATCAGCGGCAAAGGGGGAGGATCAGCGGCAAAGGGAGCGGACCTTAGTAGCGGCATCGCGGGCTATACCTTCTATATCTGGGGCGGCTGGAGCGGATAGATCGTGATCCTTGCCCTATCGGCGGCATACCCACCCGTAGGAGCGACATTGAGTGTTCGAGGCCGCCGTCAGGACGAGACATGCCGGATATTAACTCCGCCTGTGCGAGGAGTGCTACAAGGGCCGTCGGATGATCCGCCGCGGGCCATCGTACGGCGGAGATGATCGCAACGACGGCGACCGCCGCCAGGAACGGCGCGGGGATCGGCGTGAATCGCGGATGATGCCGCTGGGGGAAGCGACGGGACTTCGTACGGCGGGCCTCGAGAAGCGTGAACCGCGGAAGCTGCTGCTGCTGCTGCTGCTGCGGGCAGCGGCGGGGGTGACACAGGCAGGCCATGGGTGAGATTCATGTGACAGATGTGGGTCTCGGGCTTTAGCGTCACCTTGAAGGCTCTTCCGAACTATCCGCATCATACATCATCCTAGATCCGACCTGGCAACGAAATAAAAACCCGGGGACAAAAACAGACAGGATCGCTAGGTTCACAGGTATGCACTATGACTACGGCAAGTTTTATACGGTCGAGTTTGAGAAATGGGTATTCCTACGCAGTTGCATTGTGGCAGTGAGCTAGAGAGAGAGAGAGAGGAAGTCTGAATAGATCACAGCTCTTCGGCTTGGTAGGGCAGGCCTGTATGTACGGTTCTGGAGCGTCACCTTTCCTCCTGCCCATTTGATCCAATCCCAAGGCCGACCTGCTGCCTGCTGTAGCGGAGAGGGGATCTTTTTCAGAGGGATCTAAAACTTTGGACTTTCCCGCCAAGGAATTTGCTCGGATTCACGCTTCTGACAGATGATGACTACAACTCCAACTCGATATTGTTCTACTTCGTTTGTCCCGTCACCCTGCTTCGCTGCTGTCATGTGCTAGTATACGAAATGTTTTTATTCTGATTCATGATGTTATCTTCTCCCAAAAGTTACCATTTATCGTTCTTACATCATTACTACAGCTTAAAAAAAACTTATTTAGCATACTTAGGACAGCTTATTGTAAGGTTTTGATACTACATCGTTGGACTCCATGGTTGGACCAGTGGCATCAACATGAATATTGCACTCTTCACACACCATACCAAGCATCATTGCAGCTGATAGAAATCACATTCGGCAAAATAAGATTGCGCATGTAGGACACAAAAGGGGTCAAATTCACGAGGCACATGGGCAGAGAGATTGCCCCTCTGTTTCCTATCCCAACAGTTGTAGTAAGGCCTTGCATTTTCAGACACAGGGAACTTGGCTTCATCCATCAAATGTCCAACCAAAAAGTTGGATCTTCCTTTCGCCCATTCCCACTGCTGCAAATGCTTGGGAGACACGGCAGCAACAGGCACGCCGCTGTGCAGCATACGGTAACACGACCCAGTCCTCCTCACTGTCTCGGACTCAAGCAGCCAGCAGCCATGGTTGACTGTCTTTGCTGAACCGCGGAACCTCCTTGTTTCGCAGGAAGCCGAGAGAGGGGCATTGGAGAATCTCTTTGAGAATCTCCGACCGAGATGTGCCTCTGAAACCATATATTTATGTATCCCTCTTGGCCGCGCAGACGCGCTCAGCCTCGCTCAGCTCCAGTCGTGAGCAGTCCTTACTGGCTGAAGGGCTTTTCTCAAAGGCAGTGCGCACTGCGCAGTGCTGTCAGCAGCGGCAGCAGCAGCAGCAGCCGAGGCGGTGAGTCACTTGCGACGGTCAGTTGCACTCGACGACGCGCACGGAGTCGGAGTCCACCATGCGCAGGTCGTCCGGCGTCGCCAACTCGCCCACGGGCCGCCCGTGGAACCACAGCTGCACCGACGCGCGCCGCGCGCTACGGTGCTGCTGGCAGTAGAGGTCCAGGAGGAACGCCAAGCGCGCCGAGCGACGCATCTTGAACAGCTGCTCGTCGCCGCCGTCGCTCAGAAGTCGCACGGAGACGTGCGTCGCGAGATTCGACGCGGCGACTGGGAGTGATCGTGGGGCTTGACCGTCACGATGATGACCCGTTGGGCTGGTGAGCGCCTGAGGGGCGACGCCTCGAGATACGAATGCGGAAGCGCAGGCGCGGGAGGCACGCGAAGACACGGAAACGGACGTGGCTTGGAAGGGTTGATATGGGATGCCCATGTCGGGATGGGGGAGTGCTCGCGAAATAAGGGCGCCAGAGAAAACACACCAAGGCCCTACTTTTCCCAGCTTCGACCTAAGCTTGAGAGCGCAAACGAGAGGCACTCAGAGACGAGAAGAGGAGGCAAGTCGGAATACGGAAACATGTTATGGCTGTCGAAGTTTGCCCTATTTGTGCTTGCGTGCTGGCTGTTCGATATTTGCTGGCTGTGCTTTGGAAAAGGCTAGGGCATTCCCTTTCCTCCCCTTCCTGGCATGCGGTGTGCGACTGAACGACGTAACAAGACGTCGTCGTATGCATGCTTGTCGCAGTTCGCCCAGACGGAGTTCTCTTTCCAAAGCTTCCACGTCTCCCATTGGTCGTTCAGCCCCTCGATCGCGTCGCTTTTCGCAGGGTCAAGATGGACGAGCCGAGGCTTCTTCCTCATGGAGGACAGATTGGTTCAAGCTGCCCGCTATTGGACGTCGCCAAGAAAAATGGGACAGCCTGAGGTCATTGCACCAATCGAAAGCGTCGAACCTCCAATTGAGCCGTGTCGTGTTGAGAAATCGAAGATTTGCGGCCCAGCGTCAAGGGATGTTTCGAGAACACTTTGCGCCGTAAGTGGTTGATTGGGGAATCTTGGGGCATCGAGAGCGTACATACAGTCACGTGTAATCATCGCAAGCATTCGAAGTTATTGGAGATCTTGCAGCTGCCCTGCTGGATCCGAAAGAGCGAAGATGCATGGGATGATGAGCCCTGCCCAGCAGGGCACGGCTTCTCCAGACCAGAACTCGTACGGAGGTTTGGTGCCAACTTTCGGTACAAGCTGCTCCGAAGGCCCTGAGATTTCAGGCTTTTTAGGCTGATTTGGGTTTTGGGTCCAGGCCATATCTTGGCATTGGCTAATGCAAATGATACAAAGGCTTGTGAGGGACCTGTTATTCAAGAATAAGCCTCAATGGGCAGTTTGCAAGCACAGGAAAATCATAGACAACAGAAAAAACAGCCATTGAAATTATGCAAACCAGGGCTTTAAGGTTGATATCTTAGGTCGTCCGAAGTAGTAGTGCTGGAGAGTGGGTGAGTGGGTGAATGGGTGAACAGAAGAATATCCAAGGTGAAGTTTATGGATGGCCTAACGAAGTATGAACAATAGACATTGTTTTATGCTGACTTGAAATTCCAAGGTAGTTTATGGCATTTCGACTTCCCTACAACTCGGTTACATGCGAAAACATGACTAATTCGCGGTTAATTGGTCATGACAAGTGCATGCCACAGATAAGCCGGCACCATGTTACGAAGAGGTAGCATCGGAATCAGAAGGCGAAGCGGGGAGTGCTCGAAGGACCGGGAATGCAATTACATCTCGAATGCTGGGGCTGTCGGTCAGAAACATTACTAGACGATCAATGCCAATGCCCTGCACAACGAATGCAGATGTGGGGGGGAAACGTGAAGCGATGGGGCAGGAAGTAGGGCAAGAGGGGGAGGGGGGAAGTGGAGGGGTGTGGGGGGGGAGATAATGAGCTTGAAGTCTCTAGTTATGGGGGCATGCCGCGCTTACCCCTGCTCCTTACCGCACACATGCAGATGCATAGACAGGACACATATCATCAGAAATTATTGTAACCAGCACTGGCAAAAATGAAGCTCACAACTGTAAGAACGAAGCTTGCGAGTGTGAAAATGAAGCTTGCAAATGTAAGAGTGAAATTTTGCAATGGTAAGAATGTCTCATGCGATGGCACACACACACGCGCACACACCCACACACAGACTTGCAGGCACCAATACCAGCACTACCACAAGCATGTCTCAACCACATTCCCATGCTGGACAACGGTTACACACCTAGAAATGTTATTAGCTACCGTAATCACCCGGATAGACGCCCCTCCGTAGGATAAGTCCCATGGGCTTTATCTCGTGCTTTGGGCCTTATAGCTATTATTTGATTAAACGCCCCCCCTACTTTTCGAAAGTGTGTACCCTATACGCCCCTCAATTAGTTCGTAAAAAACTGTGCAAAAACGAAGGAACGACTTCGGGTAATAGCGAGAATTCTCGCTCTGTGCCAGCCAGAAGCGTGATTTGCGCCTTTCGGCACTTCGCGCCAGCAGGATTCGCGTCAGATTCGTCTGCTTTCAGCCTGGCACATTGCCTACTGGACTTTCAGCCCGATGGACTTGAGAATCCTCGTTAGAAGTGATCCCATCGCGTGAAACTAATAAAAAACTACCATTTGATGTAGAAAAATCAATTAGCTTATATACCCTTTTAAACGCCCATGAGCGTATACTTTTTATTCAATTAAACGCCCCCCCACGTCTTCAAACCAGTCCTATAAATGCCCCTAGGGGCGTCTATCCAGGTGATTACGGTATATATGTTACTCATAGTCTTTATCAGTGAAAAGAGTTGAGCTACACTCACCATGCCTGCAGTGGGTGGCATGCCATACTCCAGCGCTGTGAGGAAGTCCTCGTCTAGCCGCACCTCATACGCCTCCTCATCCTCCTCCTCCTCCTCTTCTCCCCCCTTTCCCTTCGCCCCTTGCCCCTGCTTGTCCCCTCCAGCAGCAGCAGCAGCAGCAGATTCAGCGCTGGCCAGCTTGCCTGCGTGCTTCCTCACTTGCTCCTCCAGGCGAGCCCTCTGCACGTGTATTGCAATAGGACAGTGGGTGAAAGGGGGGGGGGGGGGGGGGGGGGGGGAGAAGAGGGGAGAAGGAGGGGAGGAGGCGGGGTTGTACGGGGATGAATGGGGGGAGGGAGGGAAGTGCACAGGGCCTGAAGGGAGCAGAGAGCAGTGTGTGACGTGCTGCAAAGAGATGCCACAATGTGTGAGGCACAGCAATGTCAGGAAGGGGCGCGTCTGCAATGAGAGTGTGAATGTAGTGACAGCCCAACTCACCTGGTCCAGCACTGTTCACCTGGTCCAGCACTGCTCACCCGGTCCAGCACTGTTCACCTGGTCCAGCACTGTTCACCTGGTCCAGCACTGTTCACCTGGTCCAGCACTGCTCACCCAGTCCAGGACTGCTCACCTGATCGAGAGGGTCGGTGAGCTCAGAGAATGCGTTGGCCAGCTCTCGCCCGTACACAAAGAGCTCAAAGCGCTCCGTCAGACCAGGCCGGCTGATGGGGGAGAGGGAGAGGGGTTGGGAGGAGGGATGAAGGGAGGGCTTTGAGGCGACTCAAAAGTAGAGGGATGGAGACGGGGGAAAAAGCGTTGGCCAGCTCTCGCCCGTACACAAAGAGCTTGAAACGCTCCGTCAGACCAGGCCGGCTGATGGGGGAGAGAGGGAGAGGGGTTGGGAGGAAGCAGAGGTGGGGAAAGGCTTTTAAGGCGACTCATGAGTAGAGAATCGGTGAGTTGAGATAAAGCAGTGGCCAGCTATCGCCCGAACGCACCAAGCTCCGAACGCTCCGTGACACCCCAAGTCAGTAGCCTCACCTGCTGCTATTATCTCAGGAGCCAGCATCTCACCTCCTGTGTGGTCTCAATAGCCTCCTCGCCTGCTGCTGTCATCTCATCCCAAGAGCCAGCGTTTCTCACCTCCTGTGCGGCTTGGCGAGGGCGACACCTCCACGGGGTGGTCGGTCGGTCACGCTTGAGTCGACTCAAAAGTCAACTCGGACAACAGTCTCACCCCCTGTGACGTCTGTCTCAAGTCAAGGACTCAAACGTTTCTCAAGAGCCATCGTGTCTCTCACCTCCTGTGCGGCTTGGCGAGGGGCGAGACCTCCACGGGGTGGTCGGTCACGAACGTGGGCTGCACCAGAGTGCTTTCCACTACCGCCTCAAACACGCAGTTCAGCACCGCGCCCACACTCCCCGCGCCCTCTATCTTCCGCACCGCTCCCGCTACCGCCTTGCGGTTGATCCTGCCCCTTGCCGCCGCCCCGCCTGCCGTCTCCTCCGCCTGGTTCCCTGCATCGCCCCCAACAGTAGCCGCACCATCCGCAGCAGCACCACCATCTGCAGCAGCAGCAGCAGCAGCAGCAGCAGCATCGGCCTCATTCGCCCCACCATCCCCCTTCAGCCCCGCCTCCCGCACAGCCTTAATCGCAGCCTCCTTGGCACCAGCTAAGTCGTGCGCCAGCGGAGGGGAGAGGAAATCCAGCCCAGTGGCTTGGAGAACAAGGGAGTCCATGGGGGCGCGGCGCCAGGGCCGGCACCAGTGGATGGGCGTGCCCTGGTAGGGCACGGTGGTGGCGCCATGCAGCGCGGTTACCGCACCCTCTACCATGGCCTCGCAGAGAGACATCATGTCGTGATAGTCCGCATAGCTCTGGTACAGCTGTGGGGGGGAAGGGGGAAGGGGAAGGAAGAACGTGTTGGGGAGAGGGGTGGGGGATTAACAATATGGAACAGTGCAGGGAAAGGGAGTGCGAGTTGGGAGGAGGGGAGTGGAAGTGGGGAGAGAGGGGGGAGGGGGGGATATGAGGCGAGGAGAGAGCCAGGGCCGGTGCCAGTGATGGGCTTGGTAGGGCACGGTGGTGGCGCCGTGTAGGGTGGTTACCGCGCCCTCCACCATGGCCTTGCAGAGAGACATCATGTCGTGATAGTCAGCATAGCTCTGGTACAGCTGTGGGACAGAGAGGGGAGGGGATGGGGTGGGGGAGTGGCGGAGGGGAGGAAGTCACGCCAAAACGGTTTCTATCACAAGGGCATCCATGGGGACATCATGTCGTGATAGTCCGTCCGCATAGCTCTGGTACAGCTGTGGGGGAGGGGGGGATGGTTTTGGGGGGTTGGGTAGATGGGGTGGGGGTTGGAGAGGGATGATGAAATGCGGGAGTGGGTTGAAGGCAGAGGGTGGTTGGTAGGGAAATGGAGTGTAGTGAGAGCAGGGAAAGCAGGGACAAACTCAGGGGGCATGCAGCATACAGCATACAGCATGCTACATACAACATGCAGCACACAGGGCACACAGCACACAGGGCATACATACCTCAATGGAGGTGAACTCCGGATTGTGGCGCGTTGAGATGCCCTCGTTGCGGAAAATGCGACCTATCTCGTACACCCTGTCAAACCCACCCACCTGCACGCACATGCACACATGCACAGGCACATGCACATGCGCATGCACACATGCACATGCGCATGCACACATGCACATGCACATGCCCATGCACATGCACATGCACATGCACATGCACATGCCCATGCACATGCACATGCCCATGCACATGCCCATGCACATGCACATGCACATGCACATGCACATGCACATGCACATGCACATGCCCATGCACATGCCCATGCACATGCCCATGCACATGCCCATGCACATGCCCATGCACATGCCCATGCACATGCACATGCACATGCACATGCACATGCACATGCCCATGCACATGCACATGCACATGCACATGAACATGCCCATGCACATGCCCATGCACATGCCCATGCACATGCCCATGCACATGCCCATGCACACGTGTATCCGCACATGAGTGATAAGAAAGGGGCCAGGGCAAAGAATCGAGCCATGATGAGCAAAGCAGCGGAATATCCTGCCGTCTCGGGGTTTCGGTGCAGCCCTGCAGCGTGTGATGGAATGGAACAAGTGTAATGTTGAGACGGCTCAACACTACACTTCTATCTTGACGTGCAGCCCAGCTCAGCCCAACCCAGCCCTGCCCTGCCCAGCCCTGCCCTGCCCTGCCCTTCCCTGCCCTGCCCAGCCCTGCCCAGCCCAGCCCTACCCTGCCCAGCCCAGCCCTGCCCTGCATCGACGGCCATGACGCCTGCCTCCCCGTGACGCCTGCCTCCCCGTGACACCTGCCTCCCCGTGGCGTCATGTGCAGGAGCAGCCGTGTGGCGACCGCATGCGTCAGCACACACACATCCGAACATAACAAGCTCATGGCGCCCATGCCACATCACGAGCAAGTATTTTAGCCTGAGACGTCTCAAAACTAAACTACTTACACACGTCTAATAACTAGTTTTGAGACGTCTCAAAACTAAACTACTTACACACGTCTAATAACTAGTTTTGAGACGTCTCAAAACTAAACTACTTACACACGTCTAATAACTAGTTTTGAGACGTCTCAAAACTAAACTACTTACACACGTCTAATAACTAGTTTTGAGACGTCTCAAAACAAGCTCATGACGACCATGCCACATCACGAGTACCACAAAAATTGACCTCTTGACCCACCAGCATGCGCTTGAGGTGCAGCTCCGTGGCGATGCGCAGGACCATGTCCTGCTGCAACACTCTGCTGTGCCTCGTGGTGCGCTACTTACTCCCTCCAGAGAGCAGCATACACACACATCCACCCACACAGCAACCCACCAGCATGCGCTTGAGGTGCAGCTCTGTGGCGATGCGCAGGAACATGTCCTGCTGCAGCGCGTTGTGGTGTGTCACGAACGGCCTCGCCTCCGCTCCCCCCGCCTCGCCCTGGGTCAGGAGGAAGGAAGAGGACAGATGGGAGTGGCTAGGGGTCAAAACAGGGTGGAACCAGAGCGGAGGCGAGGCGTGAAGCGAGGCGTGAAGCGAGGCGTGAAGCAAGGCGTGAAGCAAGGCGTGAGGCGAGGAATGAGGCGAGGCGAGGCGAGGTGAGGCGAGGCGAGCCTTGGCGTGAGGCGAGGCGAGGCATGAGCCAAGGGAGGGGAGGGGAGGGGAGGGGCAGGAACATGTCCTGGGTGCAGTGCAGTGTGGTGCGTTTGTACATGTCATGTACAAACAGCCTCCATGTGCTCATCTATGCACCATGCACGCCATACCTCTCTACCAGCCACCGGCATGCCCCCCACCTGCATGCCCCCCCCCCAACTGCATGCCCCCCCCCACCGGCATTGCCCCCCCCAACTGCATGCCCCCCCCCAACTGCATGCCCCCCCTCCACCGGCATGCCCCCCCCAACTGCATGCCCCCCCCAACTGCATGGCCCCTCCCAACTGCATGCCCCCCCCCACCGGCATGCCCCCCCCAACTGCATGCCCCCCCCCCACCGGCATGCCCCCCCCAACTGCATGCCCCCCCCCAACTGCATGTCCCCCCCCAACTGCATGCCCTCCCCCAACTGCATGGCCCCCCCCACCTGCATGTCCCCCCCAACTGCATGCCCCCCCCCACCGGCATGCCCCCCCCCAACTGCATGGCCCCCCCCCAACTGCAAGCCCCCCCCAACCGGCATGCCCCCCCACCTGCATGCCCCCCCCCCACCTGCATGCCCCCCCCACCTGCATGCCCCCGCCACCCACCTGCAGCACGGGGGTCTCAATCTCGACGAAGCCATTGTCCTCCATGTGCTGGCGGATGGCCTTGATCACCTGCCCGCATGCAGTGCATGCCGTGGCGAGGGGGATGGGAGGGAGGGTAGGGGAAAGGGGGGGATGGGAGTGGGTGGGAGGAGGTTGATGGGAAGCGAAGAAGCCTATTTTTGAGGCGCCTCAAAAGGAGTCTATTTTTTAGGCGCCTCAAAAGGAGTCTATTTTTTAGGCGCCTCAAAAATAGACTCCTCACAGGTGGGAGGAGGTTGATGGGAAGGGAAGAAGCGTGCAGGGCTGCCGGATGGTCTTGATCACCTGCTCGCATGCAGTGCATGCCGTGCGCGGGAGAGAGAGGGGGTTGAGCGGAGGGAGGGGAGGGTGGCTAGCAAGTGAGGAGGAAGCGTAAAGTAGAGCCGAAGGCCATGATCACCTGACGTGCTGCACGGTGGAGCGGTGCGGTGTGCACGTGCACATAGTTACAGGGTTTCAATGTGAGGCTGGCAGGCTGCCACTTTGAAGAATGCGAGCGAGCATGGAATTGACTGTGAATGTGAATGCAAGGTGTAGTATACGGCATAAAACAAATTAGCCACAATATAGCCTCACCTGTGCCCTGGGCCCTTCCATCCCTGTGTCTTGAGTCTTGACACTTGTAAACGCATGCAAACAACACGAACCTTCCCTACTACCCACCCTTCCCTCCCATCCCAACCACCACCATAACCCTTACTCCACCTTCCTCACACCACCTAAACCCTGCGCCCCTCCCCACCTTGGCTCTTGCCCTAAAGACGGATGCAACCGAGGGGTTTACGATCATGTCCAGATACCTGCATGCAGGACACAAGTGGGAGAGGAGGAAGGGGAGAGGAGTGGCAGGAGAGGGAGGGATGGGTGGGGAGGGGGACGCTGAGTACCAGGATGGTTTAAGACCCCTGCCATGATACCTTCTCCAATAGAGGACGGAACTCAGGATTGCAACCGAGTGAGTCATGCAGCAGCAGTAGCAGAGGTGCTAGCTGACCGCCTGCAGCCCCCCGCCCACCGCCCACCGCCCACAGTCCACCGTCTACCGCCTACCATCTACCGTCTTCTGTCTACCGTCTTCCCCACACCCCCTCCCCCCTTCCCCTTCCCCTTCCCTACTCCCAACGCACCTCTGCCTGTATCGGATCTCCACATCCGCCAGCCCGTGCCACTTGTCTGGCAAGGGCAGCAGCGACTTGGTGAGCAGCTGCACGCCCTGCACCACCACGCTCAACTCCCCTGCACCGCAGCAATGCCAACCAACAGGGTAAGACCCACGAGCACACAAGCCAACATGGGATGGGGGGCCGGGCGGAACGCGAGGTGAAGTCAGGCTGACCGGCAGGGACGGGGATAGCACGATAGCACGATAGCACGATAGCACGATAGCACGATAGCACGATAGCACGATAGCACGATAGCACGATAGCACGATAGCACGATAGCACGATAGCATGATAGCACGATAGCACGATAGCACGATAGCACGATAGCACGATAGCACGATAGCACGATAGCATGATAGCATGATAGTATGAAAGCATGATAGCATGATAGCATGATAGCATGATAGCATGATAGCTAGCATGATAGCTTGATAGCTTGATAGCATGATAGCATGATAGCATCAGAAGTGTCTGTACTTGACAGTTGTACACCTCTATCCGCTCACTCACCTCGTTCGGTTCGCTTGATGGTGCCTGTGGCGCCCACAATGTCCCCCACGTCCAGGGTGCTCTTGAGGAACGCGAACGACCCCTCCTCCGCGCCCTCCATAGTCGCCTTCTCACAGTACAGCTGGGAGCATGGGGAGCCAGCAGCGCAAGGAGGCAGAAGGTAACGTGGACAATGGCACAAAGAGGCAGGACAGGACAGGACATGAGGTTCAATGTGCGAGGAGCGTGAGCGTGAGCGTGAGTGTGAGTGTGAGCAAAGTCTCACAGCACAGTGACTCGTGCAAATCCCCCCTCTTCCCCCCCCCCTCCCTCTCCCCCACCTGAATGCTCGTCTCCTCGTCTCTCAGCGTGAGGAACGCCAGCTTGCCCATCACTCTCCGCGCCACCACGCGCCCCGCCACCGCCACCACCTCCCCCCCCTCCGCATGCTCCCCGCTCCCCAGCTCTCGGTAGCGCTCCTGTAGCTGCTCCGCCCTGTGCGTGCGGGGGAAGGTGTAGGCGAAGGGGTTGCGCCCCTCCGCGCGCAGAGACTCCACCTGGGGGCGGAATGGGGTTGGTGTGGGGGATTTGTAAGAAGAAGAGGAGGGGGGAGGGGTTTGGGAAGGGGGGAAGGGGAGGAGGGATGGGAGAGTGTGGAGGTGGCAGGGTTTAGGGAGGTAAAGCGGAACTGGGATGTAAGGGTTTAGGGACGTCTTAAAGACATGAGTTTCGGGACGTCTCAATGACTGTAGGCTTGTAACAGCCTGGTCGCTGATCGGGTGTCAGGGTTTAAGATTGACCATCATTGACTTTTCTAACGAGCATCCGTCCGCCTGCCAGCAGCATCACTGTTGCGCAAATTTGACCTCACTAGTCGACCTCACGATCTCTCAGGCTGATCAGCAACACAGCGCCACTCTACCTTAGCTACGCGCAGTCCACGGACGGCCTCCTTAGACGAGAAATTCTCGCCATCCCCTTTCGGACCCTTGCCTCCTCCCTTCCCTTTCCCCTGCTGCTGCTGTGGTTGCTTCTGCTTCTTTTGCTTCTGCTGCTGCTTCTGCTTCGCCTCCGGGTTCGCCTGCTGCTGCGCCTGTGGCTGCTTCTGCTCCTGAGGAGGTTCCGCTCGAGCCACGGCAACCGCAACGGACGGCTCAGATGCACCATCACCCTGATCGGCAGCAGTGCTCGCACAGCATAGCACCCGCGATTTCTGCTGACTCCAGAGGCGGCTGGGCGCTGCGATGCGGGTTGCGGGTGTCGTCACAAGCGACCAGCGGTTTCGCTGAAGTGGTAACAATGCAAGCGGTGTAACAGACGAGCCTGTTAACGATCGAGCGTCCATCACATTGAGTCTCCGCGATACAAGCACTCCGCTAAAACGCTGCAAGCGGGTGCAGGAATGGGTTACGGCAGACGTAAGGGGCAGCATTCTGTCAGAAGGCCTCGCTGCTCCTACTACGGCGGAAATGCACGAGCAGGCAGCGGCGGGATGCCGCGAGAGAAAGCGGCGAGGATGGAGGAAAATGCGAGCAGCGGATTGGCAGGTGGAGACCACACCACCGCCTGCGATCATCCCTGTACGTGATGTCTGAAGTTATGGGATGGAGATTTGCAGATGAGCTGTGTACCAGCGAGGTTATTGACAAGGGAATTGCACTACGCAGGGAGCCCTGTGCTGTGGGGTACAGTTTGAATGCCTCAATACTGGGTATGCATTGGTCAATATTCGTCGTGGTTATGCATCCTATTTCTCGAAATCCTTGATCAACTTTCCATTCTCACTCCTACAGCGTGAACTACTCACTGTGCTGATGGTGCAAGATTATATCTCCAGAGTCTCAGGTAACACACTGTCACTAAACAGACCAATTTGTACTTAATTACAGACTCCACAAAGGTTGCTGAAATAGGTCAGGGCATGTAACGAGTGCAACAGAACCAGACCAGATCTACGATTAGCCACCTAGGCCTTCTTGCAACCATGATGCGCACCCGACATGTGACTCACATCTCGTACCCACAGCTTTACAGTAAGTAGACCAACGTGAGGAGACGCCTACGGCAAGTCTACCCACGTGAGGAGCAATTGTACAGGTCAGATGGGAGCTGCTACCTATGATGGGTGATAGTGCTCTTACGTAAGGGATGGAATTGGGATAGGTTGAAGGATGCTACGGAGATGACAGGGGCAGAACTAACAGCATGAGGACTGAACAGGCTTCTCCTCCTGAGGAGCATTGATGTTGATGGTCTGGCCTTTCCCTGGACCAGCATAGCTATCCTCATCCGGTGCCAGCGCCTTCTTGTTCATCATCCAATAAATCTCCGTCAAGATCTGAGTAAACGCGTCCTCGACATTGGTGGCATCGAGAGCTGATGTCTCAATGAAGAAGAAGCCCTCCTTCTCTGCAAGGGAAACAACGGGGCTGTTAGACGGGAGGCGAACGGGGCAAAGCTAAGTAAAGGCAAACCAACCGTCACACGTACCTGCGAAAGCCTGGCCCTTTTCCAAAGAGACCTTCCGCAAATGCCTCAGATCGCACTTGTTACCGACCAAAGTGATGATGATGCTCTGGTCGCCATGATCGCGAAGCTCTTTCAGCCATCGCTCCACATTGTCGAATGTCACTTGCCGCGTGATATCGTATACCAGGAGAGCTCCCACAGCACCACGGTAATACGCACTCGTGATGGCCCTGTATCGCTCTTGACCAGCCATATCCCAGATCTGGGCCTTCACGGTCTTGCCGTCAACCTGATTCGGAGCCTCAACAAATGCGGTAAGCATTGAGCAACCGAACAGCTGTCAGAAAATAACGGATTTGCAAGCAACGCACCTCGATGCTCCTTGTGGCGAACTCGACACCGATGGTCGACTTCGACTCCATGTTGAACTCATTCCTGGTGAACCGCGAAATCAGGTTAGACTTTCCGACGCCTGAGTCGCCGACCAGAACAACCTTAAAAAGGTAATCATAGTCGTCATCAGCCTTGTTGCTCTTCATGGTGGCGAACTCTAGGACGGGAAATTGAACGGGTCAAAATGGCGGAATGAGGGTGCTGGGAGCTTGAAAGCGAAGAAAGTGTCTTGAAACGTTCTTGACCTCCAGTCGGAAGGTCGATGCAGAAAAACATCAACACCACTGGTTGGTCGCCTGGTGCAAAGATCTGGGGAGGGAGGACGCAACCAGACACGGTAGACAGTGGTTTTGCTGAAAAGCTCGTCACCATCACCTTCACTACATGGACATTCAAGAATGTGGGTTGTGTAGAACACGGGCACCTCTTCTGTAGATACGATACTAGTTTAAAAGGTTCCAATATGGTGATACCGTATAACAACAATAAGGAATGTCAAAAAGGGAAATAATTGCACGCACATTAACGTTAAAACGCCAAAAGACGGTTCTTCCTCCAGAAGGGAGGGGATGCCGTGCAAGCCAGAGTGTTTGGTAGACAATGAATTTATCAGATGGGCAAAACCATGAAGAATCCCCCTAGAAGAAAAGAATCACCATAGAAGAGAAGTACTACGAAGAGTGATTATGGCAAAACACACTAATAAAACTGTCCTCGAAGTAAGTCCACCAAATGTTGGAAAAGTATGATGCAGCTAATGAAGTAAGGGTCCTGTCCTGCTAGCTTCATTGTGCATCCGTTACAGTCTTTGTTGTGCTGATGTAGAGAACTGCATCAGTAGGAAACAATTATGGAAGCAAAGATACAATTAGAGTGGAACTAAAACATACTTTCCAGAGGCTCAGACGTAGCACAACTTGCACCCTGCTTTGGGACATGGCAAGAGGTAGGCTCACCGTTGTTTCCTCGAATGAAGGCGTCACCATACTTGTTTTTCAACTGCCCGTTCACATACTCTTCCGTCTGCTCCATTGCAATGTTCATGTAACCATCCAGACAGGCAAGAATTCCTGAAACGGGTGAGTGCAGTGAGAGAAGGGATGGATGCAACAAATAGTGGACTTTGGGAATGACAATCCGGACTTCCTTGCCGAGAGCATAGCCATGAAGAACTTGTCCCTAGACTTCGCTCCCTCCTCCCCCGCGCCCCTAGAGATCGCTCGTTATCTGCGCGCTCAGCTGCAATTCCAGTACGGCTTTCACCCGTCAATGGCTTTTTCTCGGAACAGGATTGATCTCCTTAGGGCAAAGGGGGGGCAGCGTTGCACGAACCGCAGTTGAACAAGGCAGGGTGGGTGAGAAACCTGGAAAGTTATATGTAATGGGGAAACAAATACGATCAAGCTCCGTGAGGTAACGACAGTAGCACGCCAACATCCCGTGCCGGCACTAGCATAACCAGCGGGTAGTGAGACAAACGGTACGTCTCATGTGTTTTCTCACCTCGATAATCGACCCCTGAATTGAGTTTTACGACTACAGGACGACCGCGAATAGCTTTAAGAAAGTCAGTCGGGGTCTTCGCTGTGGTGCTCATCCTGTTGAAGGTGCACGGGCTAACGATGGCGGGATGCCCGGAAATTCGCCAGCGCAGAAACGGCTCTCCTAACCCTGATTCTCGAGAACTGGGGTCGCGCACAAAACACGAAGGGAGATCCCGAGAGATACATAGAGGACGCAGCGAAATCACCGCATAGAGAGTAGTCGGTTACTAATGTTGACAATATCTAGAAAGCCCACTTGCAAATTCACCAACTTACCTTCGACTAGTTATGGAATAGACATGTAAAGACGTCAAAAACTTTTATTTAAAGTAATTTTTTATTAGATTCAATGAAAGTTACGTTATATGTGCGTGGAAGAAGTAGGGTGAATAACACCTCTATGTCATGGTGTGACGTTGAGTCGCGACATCCTAGAGCACGGTATATTTCTTAATCTTTCGGTAACGCGCTGTAATTTCTAAACATGTCACACGCCTTTAGAGCTGATATGGGTTTCAATGTTTCATACCTTGGTATTGGATCACAATTGCAATAATAGCCAAGAGTTTGTCACACTCTAAGCATCCTTGATTTGATTATAACGAGTCATCATCAGCCTTTCTTTGTCACCTTTGGCGGGCTCAGGTGATCCGCGTTTGGCGGGGCATCACCTGCTGAGGGAAACGGAACAGACTCTGCTGCTCACTCCCCAGCTCCCATCTCCATGCCGTGCTTCATGTTTCGTTTGTCATACGAAACATAATTTCAGGCCGTCGATTTTTTTGCCATCAAGCCGGAACACAGATCCAATAATGGTGGTGGAAAAATGCTCTGCTCAGCAGCTCTAGATGGCTATATAACCATACCAGAACGCAAAATATCGTACTGAACCGCAATCGGACGTACTTTGGTTGACTCCCTCACTTTGACCAATCATGGTGGCGGAGAGGCAACGCCTTTCATTGCGTTTCCCTTCTGGAAACCATGAGCTTGATATCCCTCCCAACCGAAGGTTACCCATCCATTTGCGCCATTTGACCCATCACCCAGATCGTGAAATAGGATGGGTCGATATTGTGGGTATCGTGCGGCTGCTGTCTATCTTGCACCGCAAACGCAATCCTGTCTGCGATCCAGATTGGAGTTTCTCACGGGGAGAGTGAGGAATGATGACGAGGTAATGGCCGTGCTGGGAATTCGAATTCTTCAGTGCTCCCCAATTTTGTCCAAGCCCCTTCTGCGTCAGATTTCTTCCTTCAGCTCTTGTCACTCAGGAGACACGTTGTGTGAGCCTATAATCTCGTGACCTCATGCCGGCCCCTCGCGCCGCCCGCTGAATCTGTTTAGGGTTGAAACCTTCATGATAGTTAATCTCTGCACTTAGATTGCAGTCAATATAAAGATGGAGTCGTTTGGGATTGACCTCGGGCCGCCTTCTTTCTCGGGAAACGAGGCCCCGAAATCAGATGGGCAGTCTCCAGAGAGAGATGTCGCTCCAATTTTGTCGTCCGAGCCTCATTTCGAGCGGTCTAGATCCATGGCAGCAGGACACCATGGCTTCAAAGGCGCGACGGTCATGAGCGGCGTGTTTAATCTGTCAACGTCCGTTATCGGAGCGGGAATTATGGGGCTTCCAGCTACAATGAAAGTCCTTGGCCTACCGTTTGGAGTTATACTGCTAGTTGCCATGGGGATCTTAACCGAGATTTCTATCGAGCTGCTGATTCGAACGACGACAGTTCAGCACGTTTGGTCTTACAGTGATTTAGTGCATCAGGTTCACGGCAACAAGTGGCGACTTGCGCTTGACATCTCCATTGTCATCAATAATTTCGGCATTTGCATCGTCTACCTTATCATTTGCGGTAAGCATTCGCTTTCAGACCGCCATACATGTGATTTGCATTCTCGCTCAACTTCTAGTCTCCCACAACTCCCAGCCTTCCGTTCGTTCGCCTGACGCTAACACGGCTCTCCTAGTACATCCTTCTCCCTGTTTTCTCACGTCTGTTCTCTCGTCTCGCTCGTGTGACAGCCGATGTGCTGTCTGGTACGACGGCGGGGGGGCAGTACCACGAGGGAATGTTCATGACGTGGAATGGAGGTCAATCTGCTTGGTGGACAGGGAGACACTTCATACTCTTTTTAATCATCATCGTTTTCTTGCTCCCGCTTCTATCCTTCAGACACGTTGGTAAGAACTGGATCTCCTGTCCTCGGTTCTCTGTTCCCTCGCCTCAGTTTCTTTTTCTTTGAACAAGTATCGGATTCCTCCGTGTCTGCTTGATTCCAGAAGTGTGCTTTTCTCAATCATTAAGCGCTTGGAAGTTTCCTGATTTGCCGTCTTCCCAATTGCCGTTTCATCCTTCCCCCTATATGTTTTCCCCCCATAATCTCCTTTCACCTCAGACAACTTGCAGTACACTTCCTTTCTCGCCGTGCTTCTAGCGGTCGTATTCGTCATAATCACGATCGTTATTGCGGCTATCAACATCAACAATGGCACGCTACCTGTACCCAGCTTCCTGCCAGACTTCAGCTCCGCTAAGTCAATCATGGCCATGCTTGGCGTCATTCCGGTATGTTTGAATGGGAATAGAGGGTATAATAAACTGGCCGAAAAAATCAGCGCTCAAAAGTGCATGGGTGCTGGGATAGGGAAGGTCGGGTAGAGAAGTCACAGGAGCTTGTCATGTGTCAATGTTTTCCATCATCAATCCTTCACGCCTTCCTTCCTCTTCGTTCTTCATTACGTGCTTTTATTTCGTACAATCAGACTCACAGAGTACTGAATCTGTCATGTTTGCAGATCATGGCAACCGCTTATGTCTGTCACTTTAACGGTACGCTATTGCTGCGCGGCCTTCTCCTTTCTGCTCCTTCGGCTCAACGTGCTAATGTTTTTTTTCTTCTTTGCCTGCTGCACCTGCCATAGCTTAATACGTTTGCTGCCCGCTTTTTTTCCACTCCCAAGTATTCGTCCCACCCGTGACGCTCTCTTATCAACTTCCTTCGTATCCTGTGCTTCCTGGCTTTGCGCAGTTCACCCTATTTATGTGGAGCTGCAAGAGCGTAACGAGAAGACGATGCTCAAGATCTCGCGCTACACCATATCTCTCTGCACCATTGTCTACCTCCTCACATCGATCTCGGGTTATCTTCTCTTTGGAGCCAGCACTGCCAACGATGTGCTTGTTAATTTCGACCGAGACCTGGGGATTGAGAACAGCCAAGCTGTGAATGACATTGTGCGGATGACTTATATTATCCACCTGATCTTTGTCTTCCCTGTCATCTTCTACTCACTGAGGAACATCACGGACGATCTTCTTTTCCCCGGTGCTGTCACGCCTCTGGTGGACGATACCAAGCGGTTTTGGTTGTCCACAGCAGTGGAGCTGGTGCTGATTTACCTTGGCTCCACCGTCATACCCAATATGACACTGGCGTTTGACATCACGGGCGCGACAACCACCATGATCGTCGGCATGCTCATACCAGCAATGCTTGCTCTCAGGTTAGCACCTGTTTCTTACACGTTTTCTGATAGGCGTGATATTTGCCAGGGCATGTGTTTCTTCCATGTTTCTGGTGGTACCGACATTTGTTTCTTTTCATGTGCAGCGACAAGTCTGGTGTCATTGTTGAGTGGGAGCGCAAGCTTGCTTGGTTCATGATTGGCTTTGCCATCCTCGTCAGCATCACAGGGCTTGCTAGCAGCATCTACTACATTGTAGTCCATTTTTGAAGGGGGTTGAAGTAACAGGAACAGCCTCTTTTTAGTGTTTGTTTTTCTAATTGGGTTCATGAGGCAGCTACTGCTGGGGCTAAGTAGGTATCTAATTCTTAGGCATGTTTAGAAGATTCAGGTGTGCGCCGCTGCTACATCAACATACCGCTATATAGGTGACACTCTAGAAGTCAGGTCAAAATTAAGTCCATCCAGGTCCACCAGTCCTGCAATTCCCATGCTTGCTACTTCATGGAATTATGGGTGTGGTGAGGTGAGTGAGTTCAGACAAGAGCACATTTTAAAGATATCAGGTTCTTCTCAGTCGAACACGTAATTTCGGGTTTCTCGTTGTCGAGTACAAACAGTGTTTCTCCCAGCGGTGCGCTGTACCCCGCCATCCACTATTGGTTGTCAGCAGATCGCCTCTTTGCTGCTGCTGCTATTGCTGCTGCAGATCGCCACTATTGGTTGTCCTCGCCTTCCCCTAGTAATTGCTCCTAGAGGCCTCAGCACCAGCGTTTGGCCCGCTACCACCAGTTTTCTAGGCTCGGATCTTGCCGAGGGCTCGTGTCTGGTCCGGTGTTCCTCAACCCTCTCCGTAGCTTCTTACTGCGAGCTGCTTTGCTCATCGCCGACTCGGACCTGCCTGTTTTTTCCACAATTAGGGCTCATACGGGTGTCTCGTTGCTCTCGCTACTGTTCGCCGTACCTCGTGGCTCGCTCGGCCGACATCAGACAGCGTAACTCGCCGTCAATGCCTCGTGGCTAGGCTAGAAGCATCCGTCTTACCCTCGGATCGGCTTGTGCGGCACCCAGTGGGCCCCAACCACGTAAAATTATCAATGGCTCTGCCACCAGTCCATGGAAGAGTGCAGCACAGCCACCGCGGCAGCGTATTGCCTCCACGGACCATGATACTATCGCGTACCGATCTCCTCTCACCGCTTCGGCTGGTCGTCGCTCTCGCCTTGCTCTTCTCCAGCGTACATCACTCCGTAGCCGAGATTCGCGAGGTCGATGTTTCTCTCAGCAACGCACCGTGGATCCTCCTCGGCCAGTTCGGATTCAACGGCCATGGATTCGTCGAGCTCTCCGTCTCGCATCTCCGCGTGTACTCCCCCGAGAAATCAACGGCTCCCGATACGTATTCCATGGGATTCCTCATCGCCAGCCAATCAGCTGCCTGGGAGGTGGAAAAGGGGATAGTTCCTGGAGCGACTTCAGGAAACGGCTCGGTGGGTGGCTTTTGTCCGTTAACGAGTCTCAACGTAACGAAGATATTCAGCGTGATGGAGATGGACGCTCCTAAGAAGGGCTCGGAGCGGCCGACTAAGACTGCCCTGGTCCCCGTGCCTGGCGCCGGGTTTCACGGCGTGTACATGGTCAACTGCGCGCCGACACGTCTCCTCTCGGCGCACGTTTCTCTTTCCTTATACAACACGAACCCCCTAGGCGCTCCTGCGAACGCTCCGGTGACTAAGTACTACCTGTCGGCGGGAACCATCGCTCTGGCGTTCGTGCACGCGATCTGCGCGCTGACGTGTATCGGCGTGCTGTGCGCGTGGCTGGCACACGTCCTCAAGATCTGGTTCCACACCGTCGTGCCGCTCACCTTCCACCTCCTCCTCACGGCGCTTCTCCCCGCGCTCGGCGCGCTTTTTGCCGCCCTGGCCGCGCGCTTATTCGTCCAGCAGTCCACCGGAAGCAGCCCTGGGATCGACCTAGTGACAGATATCCTTCTCGTTGTGTGCCTGGTGCTCCTGCTAGCGGCTTTCTTCACAGGGATCGGGAGTATAGACCCGTATATGTCGGACGTAGAGCGCGCCGTGCTCTTTTTCGCGGTTCCTGCGGCGATTATCTCCCTCCTGGGCCTCTCCCTCGTGTCCCCGGACAGCCTCAGCTTCGCTGTAAGCAGTTCCGTTACAAGCAGCTCCACCAGCAGCGCTGCAGTGACCGGAGGCAGCATGCTGACGTCAAGTCTGCTCCCAGACACCCTCCCGTCTTTCACTGTCGTTCTCTCTGTCATCCGGCCTCTCCTCCTCTTCCTCCTCGCAGCAGCAGTCACTGTCATCACCGTACTTCTCTTCCTCGCCCTCCTCCTCTCCTTCCTCCAATGCCTCTCCTCCCGTCGTCCCGGCGCCAACAGCAGCGGCGGCGGCAGTATGAAACGCAGCGGTGGAGGTGGCAGCACCTACGCTCTAGACGACAGGGACACGGATGGTCCCTTGGAGAAATTCTACGTGCAGGCGTGCGCGCTGCTGCTGCTCGCAGGCGCCCTGTCCGTGCTGCTGCGCTGGTGCCTGCCGTACGACCTGGTTACGTGGTTACCGCAGGCGCTGTGGCAGGCGGCGCTGCTGCTGCTGCTAGTGTGGGTGCTGCACCGGTTCCGGCCCAGGGCAGAGCGGTCGGTGTACCAGCTGTTTGATGAGAACGATGTTATGGATGAGGAGCTCAGCGAGCTGTAGCAGGGGAGGGATGCAGGGGATGTGCTGTAGCAGGGGAGGGATGCAGGGGATGTGCTGTAGCAGGGGAAGGCTGTAGCCCAGGGCAGAGTGGTCCGTGTACCAGCTGTTTGATGAGAACGACGTCATGGATGAGGAGCTCAGCGAGCTGTACCAGGGCTGCAGCAGGGCTGTAGCAAAGGAAGGCTGCAGTGGGGATGGTTGCAGTGGGGAAGGCTGGCTGCAGTGGGGAAGGCTGGCTGCAGTGGGGAAGGCTGTAGTAGGTAGGAGATATTTAGCCCAGGGCGGAGCGGAGCGGTCGGTGTACCAGCTGTGCGTTGGTAACGACGTCATGGATGAGGAGCTGAGCAAGCTGTAGCAGGGCTGTAGCAAGGCTGCAGCAGGGCTGTAGCAGGGGAAGATTGTTGCATGAGATAGTGGGAGGTCTACAGAGAGGGCATGCTGTGGAGCAGTTGATTGTAACTCAACAAGTGAATGTATCGCCAGAGGAGGAGAGATGGCCTGGCCTGGTGTATGTGAAGAGAGGGTAGGGGGTTGATTCGTGGTTCTGTTGCCCAAGTTTGTAATGGCACAGGGGGGTTTGACAAGAAGATGTTAAAATGCTGCATTGATTGCGCCTTGGTCTGTTTTGAATCATGAAAAGGAAAGGGCTTGTGACATGTTCAGTGATTTACAAGTCATGCTGTGGACAGTGTTTCATTGCAAGTACAACAGCCATGTACGTCAGTAGTGCTTGTGAGTGAACCTACTCCTGCTGTGCTGCTCAGCTCAGCTGATGCCATTTTTCACTTGTGATTATTTTATGGTACCAGCACCACCGCCAAAATTATAATTTTTAACACACGTAGTGTTTTTCAAAAATTGTGTATTGTGAAAGCGAAGCTGATTGTACTGAAGCGTTGGGCATCGTCGAAGCGCGCTACTCGCCCTTCTCCAACTACATATACCTACGTGGGTTGGAGCTCATTTACCTCCACCCACGTCTCTCATTTTTCAAACGGCTCAGTCCACTTTCCCGCTCTAGCTTTTCTCCCGTTCAAGCTGGCTAAGACTAGAACTTTGCCTCGCGGCGAGTCTCCTTCAACACTTCTTTCCGATATTTTTAAGTTTCACCGATCCGTCATGGCTCCGACTATCAGAAATTGAATTGATTAATGTTGGAGAGAGGGTACACACAGATATACCTAAGTGTTGTACCCTCTAAGAGGCTACCCTATACAGTCTATACAAACATGACAAATAGACATGTTTGACACACCCCCTAAACTGCATAGGGGAATGTCCTAAACAAGCAGCTCAGGGCGGCACTACTAGTCCAACCTCTGAGACAAGGGTCTGAGAGACCAGTCAGAAGGAGTACAGACAAGGCAAGAACAAGGGCAGGGCGGCACTACTAGTCCAGCCACTGGGAGAGGACACAAGTCCAGTCTGAGTATACATATAAAGGACAGTACAAAGTCAAGGTCCTAGCAAGTGAGAGGCTACAGGAACTAGACCAAGCTGTACACAGTGCCGCTGATGATCTTTAGGCGCAAGCGCCTTCGTAAAGATATCAGCCGTGTTGGCACCTGAGGCCAAGTGTACTACGCGAGCCTGACGTCGCTGCTGTAGCTCACGCAGGAGGAAGTACCGCAGCTGAATGTGCTTCGCTCTGCCCTCAAGTCGAGGCTCCTGACATAGGAGGATCATGGCCCTGTTGTCAGCGAACAGGACCGGGGCAGAGCTAGGCCGCTCACCTAAGTCAGTGAGCAAGAAGGTCAGCCAGCGGAGCTCCTGTGCCGCCATGGCACCAGCGTAGATCTCGGCCTCACAGCTGGACTGGGCAACAGATGAGGAGCGGGTAGCTCTCCACGAGACGGCACCTGGGTAGACCTGAGTGTCTCGGCGTCGTCTGCCCAAGAAGCGTCTGTGTGTCCAGTAAGGACCACTGGCCTGCGTCCTCCTAGCACTAACCCCATGCCCGATGTACTAGCAAGATAACGCAGAACCCTCTTAGCGGCAGACCAGTGCTGCGGTCGGTGTCTGCCTGTGGCCACAAAACGAGCCAGGATGCTGAGAGGGCATGCGAGATCTGGGCGAGTGCAAGTCATCAGGTACATGAGGCAACCCACCAGCTCTGCGTAGGGGCCGCTGGGCTCTACCAACTCCTCAGACACTGGAGCGGAGAGCCTGTGGTCTACAGGCAGAGGGGTGGGCTGTGCAGAGGAGAACTGAAGGCTGAACCTCTGAAGGACCTGGCGCACCAAGTGTGACTGAGTCAGGGTGAAGGTGCGCGCAGCTCTGTCCCTGGAGATCTGCAAGCCAAGGTAACGGCGCAGTTCTCCAAGGTCAGTGCACGTGTGTCTCTTCAGCAGCTCTGTCTTCACGGAGGCCAGTGCGTCCCTGTCTGCTGTGGCAAAGACCAGGTCGTCGACGTAAACAAGGATGTAGAACGGAGTCTGGCCAGCACGAACGAAGAGGGAAGGGTCTGCGGAAGACGGAAAGAACTGCAGGTCAGCAAGCGTAGCACGGAGAGTGTCGTGCCACTCACGGGGAGCCTGGCGCAGGCCGTAGACGGGGCGCCGCAGGAGCCACTGGGTCCCAGGAGGGAAAGTGCCAGTAAAGCCCGGAGGGCGACGTAGGTAGACCTGCTTGTGTAGGCTGCCCTGAAGGAAGGCAGTGGAGAAGTCGAGGGAGTGAAGCTCGTAGTCACGCTGAGCAGCTAGGTGTAACAGAACCCGAAGAGTAGTCATCTTCGGGGTCGGAGCGAAGGTCTGGAAGAAGTCCACCCCCTCGCGCTGACTGAAGCCTCTAGCCACGTAGCGCGCCTTGAACACAGACGGCTCTCCAGGAGGGCGCTTCACCTTGAAGAGCCAGCGGCCATCGACTACGTTCACCCCAGGCGGGGGAACTGCGTCGACGAAGGTGCCTGTGGATCTCCAAGATGCCATCTCCTGCTCCATGGCAGCTATCCACTGCGAGGCCCAGGGTCCCGAGGTCGCCTCAGCGTAAGTGCGAGGGGTCGGGATGTCGAAAGCGTCTGGGTCACCCTCAAGGACTAGCAGCATGGAACAGAGATGGGGAGCAGCCTCGGACAGGAAAGCAAGCTCGAACTGGCGGTCCTCCAGGACGTCACTGCCAAGGGCAGGAGCACCCCCGACAGACGGAGGACAGGCAGGGTCAGAGACCAGAGCGGTGGCGTAGTCAAGGCGGCGGGTAGAGGCGAAGTCAGCGACCGCAGCGACAAGAGCGTCAAGGCACAAGACCGGAACAGACGGGTCGGTAACGAGAGAGGCAAGGACCCGAGGAACAAGAGGACGAGCGGCACGAAGGTAGTCAGACAGCGGGGGGGGTGCAACAACAAGGGAGGACGGAGGAGGCGATGGCAGAAGGGGAGGACGAGACGCGTGGGAACGAAGCAACATAGGGTGGGAGCGCAGGACAGGCGAGGCAGGACGAGCACGGGAGGGACGGTGAGACCAGACGTGCGACGGAGGAGTCGGGTCAGGAGACAGAGGAGGGGACACAGGAGGGGAACGAGGGGGGAGACGAGCCGGGGACGAGTCCGGCGGAGGGAAAACACAGCCGTAGACAGGAAGAGGAGGAGACGGTCGGGGAGGAACCGACGCAGGGTCGGGGGACGGCAGGCCAAGCAGGCGAAGGGCTGACACCGGCGGGGACTGCTGCTGCGGCGGCACAACGGCGACACCGGGACCGCTAGCTGCTCCTCGGCTACCCCCGACACTCTCCACACCAGCACCCCCAGAGGGACCACCCCCAGGGCTACCAGGACGAGCACCCCCAGAGTCAGCGAACGGGTGCTGCGACGGCGGCGGCGGCGGCAGCGGCAACGACGGCTGCAGCGGCGGCAGAAGCGGTGGAGGAGAGGACTGGGGAGGGGACGCCAGGGGAGGGGCGGCTGACGAGGACTGCACAGGAGGGCCACCAGAGTCAGAAGACTCCTCAACCGGGTCCACCGACGGAAGGGGGGTGACGTGGGACACACCAGAGGGGGCGGGACGGGGAGGAGGAGGAGGAGGGGCAGGGACTACTGGGGAAGGAGGGACCAGGAACAGGGGGGGAGTAACCGGGGGACCACGGTGGGGGAAGCGACGGTAGTAGGAGACGGATTCGTCAAAGGTGACGTCACGAGAGTGAAAGAAGCGGTGAGACGGCGGGTGGTAAAAGTGCCAGTCGGACGCGTCAAGGGGAAAACCGAGGAAGACGCATGGAAGGGTGCGGGCAGTGAGCTTGTCCGTGCCGGAGGCACGGACGTGAGCAAGGCAGCCCCAGACGTGGAACGCAGACGCGTCACCAGGAGACCCAGTCCAAAGACGGGTCGGCGAAACCTGCGGCTGCTGAGGGTGCGGCCACAAGTTAAGCTGGTGAGAAGCGTAGCGCACAGCGAACGGCCACAGAAAATGGGGTGCACCGGCATGGATCATGGAGGTGCGAGCCACCTCCATGACCAAACCGATGCGTCGCTCAGCGACCCCATTCTGCTGTGGGGAGTCCGGTAGGGTGAACGTCTGGGTGATTCCCTCCGCACGACAAAAGCGACCAAGGACATCTGAGGCAAACTCGCCACTACGGTCTGAGTGAAGACGCAAGACAGGGAGACCGCGGTGGACACGCGCAGAGACAAGCCAGGGGATGAGAGCGCCAGGCACGTCGGCCTTGCGCTCCAGGGGAAAGACTGTGGTGTAGCGTGTGAAGTCGTCGACAAGCACAAGGAAGTAGCGCTCTCGACGCGGCCCAGGGACAGGGGCGGGGCCCCATACGTCCAGGTGCAGGGTCTGCAACGGCGCGGCGGTAGGGGGAAACGAGGAGGAGTGAGGGGCACGGCGAAGCCGACCCTCGACACAAGGCGTGCAAGGTGGGGCTGGGGAGGAGGGAAACGCAGGGAGAGAACATGGGAGACCAAGGACAAGACCGTGCTGGGACATGTGACGCAGACGCGGGAGCGCAGGGTGACCTAGGCGGTGGTGCCAAAGGAGGGTCGGGTGAGTGAGGGACCGACAGGAGCAGGCGGCAGCAACCTGGGTGAGCGCTCCAGCCGGGGGGGTCACGGTGTCCAGAGTGAACAGGCTGGACACCGGGTCCCGGGGGAACGTGGACAGGGGGGCACCAGTGGCGGCCTCAGTACAGACAACATACCGCTCGTGACCAGGGAACGTAGTGGTGACGCCAAGGTCCTGGAGGCAGCCGACACCAACTAGGTTCCTGGAGAACGAGGGGATATGCAGACCTGTAAGAGAGCCAGAGGGGTCAGCGAGAGAAACGGCAGCAGGGACGGGAAGCGGCGTCAGGGTGGTGGAGTCGCGGAAGAAACACCGAGAAGCGCCAGAGTCCAAGGTGAAGGAAAGCGAAGCAGAGGCGTCTGGCGACGGAACGACGGCGGAAACACCAAGACTACACAAAGCAGAGGATCCTACGCCTGACGCAGCAGGGGAGGGTACACTAGGCACACCTACACTAGGCAACGGTGAGTAATAGGCGGGAAGCACACTAGAGTTATCAGCATACATCACATGCAGAGCAGAAACAATGGCATCCATGTCCATATCAAAGATCTGAATCTGACGACTAAGCAAACTGTGCCAGTCCGGGAGGTCTGGCGACGGGCCGAAGCGCTGACGAAAGAGGTCGTCCAGGCGACGAAAACAGCGGAGAGTGGAGTGACCGAGCCTACCGCA